GCACAACCGTGCCTTCCGCCAGGTGAGCCTGCCACGATGCCCGGTGCTGCTCAGCTCCTGTCCACCCACCCGAAATCAGCGGGTTTGGTCTCTGTGAGGTAGGGTTCAGTTCTGCCCCCCGCCGTTACTGGCTGGTAATTGATACTATTTCTTTTAATACACACGGAGTCTTCGTGGAAATTATTCTTTTGTCATTCGTTTCTTTAAAATGACGTACAAAACTAAAGAGCCTGTTTATTTTACTGCTGTTTAGTGGCATATAATGATACTTGCCTTTTTCCTATCTTGCACTGAAAATACGAAGTTGTAGCCACTCTACATGCAAGACCTGTCTGTGACTAGAGTGGCTGTTGAAAATGATTCTGCAGCTCTTCTTGCTCTCTCATAAGTGAGAGAAATTAGGTATAATCACCACGGATAAATGAGGGACATGCCCTGTTTCACTGGCAGTGTATGCCAGCAAGGCTAAAAGTGGGGGCTTTTCAGCCATGGTCTGTTTTCTTTCCTGACTGCAGCATTGGTTAGGAGACACTGAATTTTGTTTGAAGAACAGTAACAGTTCAGTAATTCACCATCACTTGTGATGATCTTTGATCATCATATCCTTCCAAAACTTGCAAAGATCTTGGAGACAAAAAGAAGCTTGTTTTTCAGTTCCATAGAACTGCTTTTTAAGTTTGAAAAACTTATGTACAAATAATTATTCTATTTCCATCTAAGTAATTTCAATTTTTTAAGGCTGCATGTTTCTCTCTATGCTCAAATTCTGTTATACAATACAGCAAATCTTCACAGTTTGTTTAAACTTAAGGTTTGGATCCTGTCAAACGATACTGAAACTCAGCTGTAACTTTACTGCACAAATAAGTTGCATATGTTTCAGTAGAACACTTGCATGAATTACTTGATGCACGCAGGTTGCAGGATCTAAGTGACAAAGGTACCAGTTTAACTAACTCACCAGATTCATGAAAATGTTTCGTTGACATTTCCAAGAGGAATGAGTATTGCTTGTTATTTCAGAGGGTATTAAGCACTACACTGCTATGTGATTAAAAACAATGGTTAACCTCAAAGGACTGAGCACATCAGATTCTAATGTGGAAAAACATGTTTTAGGAAAAAGAAGAATTTATTTATTCAAGACTGAAAGCCAAGGGTCTGGAAATAAGAGATGAAGCAGGTTAGTGAGATCTTTGTTTATAGTTCAGGATGCATTCTTAATTCTGTTTGACTTTGAATTTTGTTAGTTTATGTTCTTTGTGTTCTGTCACAAGTAGCTCTTGAGGGTAGGATTTAGAAGCATTTTCAGGAGCATGATAAAAAAGGAGGGGAGGAGCTCTTCAGAGATTTGCATGGGGGGATTAGATCATCTGTTGCACTGCGCTTCCCCTAATTCCTTCCCCGCAGCTGGAGGGAATGCACTGAAATCCTAGCCAAGTAATATAGTCATTCTCTAGTCTTAAGGAGCAAGGGGCTTTTTCCTTCCACACCTCCTAACCCAGTGAGCTAGCTGAGCTAAACATGTAGAGCATTTGCCTCAAGAGCATGTTATGGTTGGGTGGATAAATTCACACTCTTTGGCTTCAGGTCCATAGTGTATACAATGAATACACTATTTTTCCTTGAGGGAGAATAAGACAGCTTCTGAGGAGACAGCAGCTGCTATCTGCCTGTCTTTGCCTGAGCACAGTTGCTGTAAAATAGTTGCCTCTATAATTCATTATGTGAAAGTGCAAACAGGATGCCTTCACAATGACAGTGAATTGGCTATTGTAGTATGAGGTTGAACATTTTGTTCATAGAATAATGATCTGTTTGAGTTTAGTAAAGCATCTGCTCTGATGTTCTGTATATCGCAGAGCATTATTTTTCTCTTCTGTTTGTATCCTGGTGATCAGTGTGTGTTAGAGAAATAATTTTAATTAAGTTCTGTGTTGTTTAGAAAATGCTTCTTCTGTATTGCCATTTTGGTTTTGGTTTGGGTTTTTTGTTTTGTTTTTATACCCTAGAAATAAAAGAAAAAATACTAAGCATGTACATGACTTAGAAATAAAATTATATTGGCTGCATGTGTTACTTAACTCTGTTATTATAGAACAGCTCTGTGTGTATTATAAAAATAAGAGTAATAACAATATACATGAACAGTTGGAACAAAACTTACTTTTTTATATAAGTGAATCTACGATCAGTTCTGCTGATACCAATATGAAGAAACAAATTAACTATAGATGTTAAGTAGGCAGCCTTCAAATAGTCTTAGAGTAAATTTATTCCACAGTATGTTAATCTATTGTAATATATTAGATTTGTAAATAATGACAAATAGAACTAATCAGTAATTTACATTTCTGTGATCAGTCTCAGGAGCTTTAAAATGCATTTTGGAACAGTAACAAGTTGAATATCACAATTCCATCTCCCTTATCGTATCCATGTCCCCTGGGACAGTCAAATTTGACTCTCATTTTAGAAACATTGAAAGTGCCAGAAAGCTTGCATAGGAATTATCTGGTAGAGTTGAGAATATTTGCTGGTTCCCAGGATTCTACATCTGTGCTGTAGCCACAGGTTTTCCTTTCATTTTCTGTGGAGACAATCCATCTCCTCTTATATTCTGCTTGTGAGTGGCATATTCAAAGTCATCTTTTGTACTTTCTTCTTCACAAAATGATTGTCTACTACATTGTTAATAAATCTGACATCTCAGAACATATACTTTTTGGTATAAGTTACTTGAAGTTTGTCAACAGCAACAGAAAAAAATGTACATCTGAAAATACATCAGTCGTGGATAGTGTTCTTTCTATATTTACTGACTTGCTCTAAGGGGGAAATTTAAGTTACTGAGTGCTCTTACTGGTGTTGTTTAGACTTCAGCCCCACAAGAGGTTAATTTTACTCAAAGGATAGATACTCCTAGATCTATGGACTTTTTCGTAGGGGTCCACTAGTTCCCTAAATAATCTAAGACCTGATAAACATAATCACTTTCACAAGTAATAAGGGCTTAAGAGTTACGCCAGCGTGAAGATGATCAGTATTTTTAATCTGCTGTGCTCCCTAGATAAATTTTTAAAAGTTGGAAGATAAAAGCATATTAACTTGTTCAGGATTACACAGGAAGCCTGTAGGAGCAAGGAGCCAGACCTAGCGCTCCTGCATCTGAACCCAGTCTTCTAATCCAAAGAGTTGTCTTGACATTGTTATGCCAAAACTTATTTTCAGGTCAAAAAGCAACACTGAATGCAGAAGAAATGGCTGACTTTTACAAGGACTTTCTAAGTAAAAATTTTAGAAAGCATATGCAGTATAACAGGTATGTAGAAGGTATTTATGTTGGCTATTATACATTACAGTCTAAGTGACAGGCATAAGAGCAAATTTAGAGTTTGAACATTTTTTTCCATAATTGGTAAAGCAGGACCTAAAACTATCATTTTAGAAAATTATTTTTTTAAATGCTATTATTAGCATTTGACAGAAATTTGCGTTATCATTTGAGTTCTACTGCTTATTGTTGATTTAGTGGAGAGATGAATCTCATGTCTGAGATTGAGAGACAAGATGAGGCACTCAATTTTTTTCTTTTATAGCATAGGTCTTTTCATGCTGCTAACTGATAAATATGTGAGTAAAAGTTGAAATTTCTGTTTTACAGATTCTAGTTGACTGTTAAATAAGGACTAGTAAATGTGATTCATCTCAAAGGAAAATTGTCTAATGAGAATAATATTCAGTATTTGTGGTTTTATCATTTTGCAAGCATATAGTAAAAATGAAAGCGATTAGCCTTGAGTTGGAGGGCTTTTTGTGTGGCAAAGCATTAGTAAAGTGATCGCCTGAACTCATCCTGTGTAGAACCTCGGCTACAGCTGGGTAAGCCCACATCTACTGTGCCTCTTCAACATCTGCTGCATTGTTTCAGTGTTACTGTTTGTACCACAACTTGAGAAACTGGATTGGGGATCTGAAACAACTGAAAAATGACTTGCAAATACATATTACCCTGCAAGTAGATGTGCACACTTGATAGAGGGATAGAAATGAGGAAGGAATGGGAAGCTGGAGGAGGATAGTACTTAATCCAGTTACAGTAGCACTGTCCACTGAATGTGAAACAACAACTTCAGTTTCTTCTCTATATTGGATTGAAAGATTATTGGGCTCAAAGGTGTCAAGCGTTACTGGGTTCCTAGTGATGTAACGCTAGTGAGAATTCTACCATCGCTATAACTGATCTATAACAAATTGTGGTTTAGGGTTCTTTGTACATATTGTGCATATACCGTAACACACTATACTGTAAGAACAATTTTACTGTAACAAATATTGAAAACAAATACGCATATCTTGTCTTGCCCGTGGGGGGGGGGGTGGTTGGTGGGGGGGGGGGGGGGGGGGGGACGACACACCTCACCAAAAACCTAAGCAACAGTATGAAAGGATGGAAAGTAAAAAATTCTTTTTAACGGGAGGATTGTTGTTCAAATTGCCTGTAACTGATCAGTGGGAAAGCAAATAGTTTATCTTAGAACTGGTCACCAGATGCCATTGTTGTAGTGAACTCGGGATAGTGTCCTGTCTTCATGGTAAGAGAGTTCAGGCTTTGTGCCTAAACATGACCTTCCTTGGTGCTGCCTTGCAAAATCAGGCAGTGTAAGCTGCGTCATTGCAGTTTTGAAGTGGAACTGCACAGCCCTGAAAGCAGTGGAGCGTTTTACAGGCATTCTGATTTTGAGGAGTCATTTTTATAAAAATCTGTTTATGCATTCAGCTGTATGTTCTTTTGTAGTGTTGCCAGCTGGCCTGAAAACTGTGGCCACTCAAGTGTTGCAACTTCTAAAGTTTAGTTAAAATTGAAGCAATGACTGTGCATAGATGCCATGAATATTTAGTTCAGGGTACTTAGACTGGAAATAGTCTAGGAAAAAAAATTTTGAGAAGGATACAGGAAATGAGACATGAAAGGGGAAAAGAAACAGTTGCAATGTTAGCATGATATTTTGATTTAACATGACATTTGAGGGGGTAGCTCAGTGCTGCTTGTCAGCATGATTTTGGCTACTGTCCTTACTGAGAGGTTAGTATCTCAGGTTTATGTTAGATCCATACATGAAAGGTTTCCCACAGAGATCTCAAGGGAAGACCTAAATCCCAGTGTTTAATATTCCCTGCTAGTTCTACAATAAGCATATTCTATTGCTTCTTGTGCAGCATTTTACAAAATGGGGGAGTGATCCTTGTTGGAAACTAGAAAGAAATTATGAAATTAGTTTGTAACAGGGACAAGAATTTGAAGCAAGTTCTCAGAGGTTAAAAAGGGCCGATACAGACAATCTTATCTAGATCTTGAATTGGCTCCAGAAGTCATGCATGCTGCATAAAAACTATTTAAAGATATAAGCACTAACTTTGGCAATGGTAAAGGCGTCATCTTTAAAGGGTACTGTGTTAGAAGCCTGATGTTTCCTGCATTGGGTTATATAACTAGTCCTTGAAGTGTCATTTTATTTTATTTTTCCCGCCTTTGTAGGTGACCAACTATGCCCTTTCCAACACATGCATCTTCACACATGCACAAACAAATCTTGCTCATAGCACAACACTGGCAGGAAATTCTTCTAGATAGCTTGGTGATTAGCTTTACTTCTGAAACATGAGATATGGTTAGAATTATTTTATCTAACCTGATTCCAAATGCAATTGATCATAAAACTAAGCATCCCTTAACTTTTTTGCAGTTAAGCTCTCAATGGCTGTTGCCCTATAATCCACATCCATGAACAGATTACATGTAGACATTCACATAGACCTCTTCATAGGTTATTGTAACTCTAATTAGGCAGGAAAAGTCTTGCCACACAATGGAAAAGCATGTTGTCACTGAATTGTCATTTGTCAATGCCAAAGGATATTTCAATATAATCGTGTACCTTTCTCCTGTTCTTGTTCTGTGTGCTGATGATTTTCCTGGCTTTGGAATCCTAGAGACTGGTATAAACGTAACTTTACTATCACATTCCTCATGGGACAAGTAGCACTGGCAAGAGCTCTGAGGTGGCTTCGTTGGAAAAAGAAAAATGTTGGAAATTAGCGATCACAGCTCCATGAAGAATGCAACGCTAGCTAGGCCTGCTGTAAACTTGTTTATAGTGATGTTCAGAATATGAATGACCAATGTAATAATTGCTTGAATCTTGTTTGTTAAACTATGTAAATAAAAGTTACCATTGGTCTTAATTTATAACCACTATGCAGATTTCCTTTACCTTTTATTCCAAGAATGTACAAAATATTTCCCAACCAAAACACAACTGAGAAAACTATCAAAAGCTGTTCCTCATTTACATTAAATGGAAGGGATCACAACTGTTGCCTCTTTAGCACAGAGTCGTAGCTCCTAAATAACATGTGATTAAGTATGCCGTACCTGAACTCACATCAAAGAATGATGTCTCCACCAATGATATTAGTATATAAAGACAAAAATGCCTCATTTTGTGGCAGTTGTCTGTCTGGGGCAGTAACTATCCACAAGTAGTACGATTATGGCTGGAGGAATAAGTATGATTTGCAAGCATGTATACAATCAATTTAGAATAATCCTCTTTTCAGTGTGATTATTTCCTACTTTTAATAAAGATTTAAGATATGATTTCATAGAAATTACTAATGCAATAGGATCTTCTTAGATAATTTTGTTTTAATTAAAAGAAATGTGCCCTCTGCCTTGGACAAGAGTTCCTCTAACCTATGATTGGTAAAGATTTTAGTTGCTGAGCAATAAAACAGATGCATTGCCAGTCAATCTTGGTAGGAAAGTAAACGTACTTGGTTGTATGGAGGAAAACATTAGTACTAATACACGCTGCTTTCTCCTGGTTCATTTCTTTCAAAAAACGTACGATGCTCACCAGTTTCTCTGAGGCACTCGAAAGAACTCGCCTGAGGGGGATTTTTATGGCCTCAAGGTATGTAACATCAATTGGAAGGAGGTTGGTTTAAATGAAGTCTTAAAATGTTATGCCATGTATCTGCAATTTAAAAGAAGTTCCATTCCTCAGAATGTTCTCCCTGTCCATTTATACAGTTAAATGATTTTTTGATACAGCACCTACTAAGAGGATTCTGTTAAAAAGAATGTATGTTGTCAAATGAAGCGTGTTTTCCTAAAGCTGTGCTGCAGGGAAGGTTCTGCTTTTGGAAATGTCAGCTCAGTAGCCGTTGACCTGTTTTTCATATCTAAATGTGACATGATTTATTCACAGGCTTTTTCAGCTGGAGCAGAAAGAGCTTTGTCAGTATCAACTATAATAATTCCTTTGCAAGATGAAATAAATATTAATGATACAGTAGCGGATTGCACTGCTTCATACAATGATTATATCATCATTGGGGCTAAAACGGTCACTGAATTGTGGTTTTAACTGTTGTGTTATTAGTAAATGAAAACAGTCATTAAAAGTGTTTGCTGAGGTGATAACCAGCACTTCAAGGAAAATATTATTTGTGAATGTTATTTACTGTATCGGTACTGTAAAAGGTGTATATTTATTAAAAAGTTACAAAATGCCATGTTTCTTTAGGAAAATAAATTCTTGAAATAGACTACTGTGGGTATGTAATGTAATTCTTCAGGGCTTTACAGTAAATCATATCTTACAGTATATAAGCTTTGACCACAACGCAAATGTACACTTTAACAAATAGTTCCAATGTAAAAGAATGGATAATACAAGAAACTATCCCTGAAGGGCAGAGACCAGAACCCCCATGGACTGGTGGCTGATAGCTGCATGTTCCGACAGCCTCTCCGCAAGATCCCTACGGTAGTTTCACATAACGCTTCGAGTGGGTAGAGGTCAATCAAAAGAAGCATTTTCATCTTCTGAGCTGCCCACTTATTAACACATTTTTGTGTCTGCCTGCTGAACCAGATCAGGAAATTGATTCACTACTAGAACTAATAAAAAACCTGTTAGATGTCAGTTGAATTAATATGTCTTATGCAGATATAACTCTTCTACTGTTGGCACAGGGGAGATGCGAGAATTCAGATGGAGGGTTTGGATTGTGCTTCAGTCAATTCACAGTTAAAACTTCTCTGAACATGTAATTTTAGTGTTGGTCACCCAGAAATAATATAATCATCATATGATGGATCATGCTAGGATTCTGCTCTGAGCTGCCTTGAGGTGAAGTTCATGCCTTTATGGCATTGCCTTCATTAAGATTCCGTGTGGGGTGCTGGGTCCCTTCATCTAAAGCCTATTGAAGGAGTGAGGCATTTATCTATTAGCTAAGTGGTGAGCTCTGATTTAGAATTATCTAATAAAGCCACTGTGAAAAGATGTTATTAAAAATAATCCATCTGAAATTTTGAGTCTCATTACCAAAAGCACATACATTTACTGAGATAATTACATTTTCTGAACAGCAAAAGCCATATCGTTTTTGCCAGTGTTGCATTACTTTTGATTTTTTTTTCTTGACTCAGAGCAGTTGTAATAATGCCAGCTGCTTTCAGATATTACTGATCATAAATCCTTTATACATCAAAGGAAGAATAAGGAGTTGCCACAGACTACTAAAAATAAATATTTTATGTATACAAAGGCCTACTATAGTAACTGAAGCTAGTGAAATAGATCAAAGAGTGACTTTTCTGTGCACATTTTCTGAGTATAGGAAAAATACAGGGGAGTGTTCTTATCATTTAGGTGTTTAGCTAATCCTGTCAGAAGGAACAGCAGTATTTCATATTTAGTAGTGTCAGCGTGTGCCTTTTTAATCTGTCTCCTCAGTGCATAATAAAGCAACTTTGGTAATTTTCAAATAATTTTAGATATTTTGTATTGACTTGGGGTGGTTATGTTCTGATAATCTGTGAAGGTTTTTAGCTAGTCACTGAATTTCTCCATGAGAGCATTAATTTTGATAGAACATGAGAAGAGTAAGAAGTGTCAAATGGGGATTGAGAGGCAGACCAACTAAATGTTGGTTTGAAGTGATTGTAGCACCTTTATATATGATTAATAAAGAACTGTACATCTTAAAAAAAAAGGCATTTCTCAGTTTCATTAGGAGTTTCAAAAGTAATGTTAGCAACTACTGGGAAGATAGCTTCTATATTTAACTGAAAATTCTTGGTGATAAAATTTAGTTGAAAACTCAGATTTGTTATTTAGAAGCTGACCCCATTTTAAGGGGATTGTTCTGCTTGTAATTTTTAACTTCCACTATCGCTATCGCTAAGCAAGATTGGTATCCTACAGGACAATCAGATTTAGCCAAACAAGAACTTAATTTACATCCTGTGCAGAACCCACGGGCCAGTCTTTTGCATGAAGACTGGGAGATTTAATTGCTTTCAGGAAAGGATAATATATGCCTGGAACTGTAATATGCACGAATAACATTTTCATATTAAAAATTATACCCACCAATTGCTGTAAACTGATTCACAGCATAACCCCAGAACTGAACATTCGGGTTCATTTCTCAAAAAAAAATAGTAACGGAAACAGAAGTTAGTTTATTTCTTATGAGTTTATTTCTTAAAAAGAGTTTGTAAGTACATGGAATATAGTAATCTTGAAATACATACTCATTAATATTCATTGTTCTATAAATCACTTCTTTGTGCCTTGAATTTGCATTCATTAATGGATTGAGATTTACCCAAGTATTGTGAGATTTAGTTGATTGATATATTAAAATAGCAGATGTTGTGGAAGTGCAAAAGCAGTACTTTTGGCAAGAAATAGTACAGGCAAAAAAATTACATGCTCCCTTTTAAAGTGTGATCTTACTCAGGAGAAAATAATATTCTACAGTACTAGCCACAGTCAAAATCAGTTTTAGAAGCCATGTAAATGCTCTGAAGACATGGTCCCTGTTCCATGCAACTCCTTGTGTTTTACTAATTCAAACCAGATACTCATTTAATTGAGTTTCTTACATTTTGCAGGGAAAGGCACAGTGATTTTGCCCTCTGGTGTACGCAGGTTCTCATCCTGAGGGGTGGCCCCAAGTGTGTTGTGCAGGGGGTCTGCGATGGCAGGAGACAGCAAGAATGCCTGCGTGCATCTCCTGAGGGTGCCAATTATCTAAGCTGGAGCAGCCCTGGAGCTACCTGGATGGACCATGACCGGCATGAGTCTCCGGCAGCCCCTGTGCCAGTCAAGAATTGCCGGCATTCAGCAGTACCCTGTTCGCACCGCTGCCTCCGGAGAACCCACTGATATGATTCAGCTGCAGAATTGGCTGGGATAACATTCATCAGCTGAGCCAAAACACATTAACAGGCGAAAAGCAAGTTTCAGTCAGAATCATAAGAAATTCAGGTCACCATTCGTATCTCATTGTTAAAGAACTTCCTGTTGACAAATTTTAGCTCTGTCTTTGTAATAAATCCCTGCCGTGGAAAATTTTTCATATGATGGTTAGTGTGTAGCATACATTGGTTGTTTTTAAAGGGTTCCAGAAGAGTTACACATTTTGATTTCTAGAATGAGTTGAATAAGTCTAGATTCTTTGGGGGTGGGTTGCTTTGTAAAACAGATTTTGTAGTCAAGGCTATATTAGAAGGCAAAACCCATGAATTGCAAATTTCAGAAGAGATGAATTGACTGACTGCCTTTATTGCTTTCCAAGTGATTTTATTATTCTGGAGTGTCATACAGAAAATAGATGGTATGACACAGCATAAATACTCTGTGACAAACTAAGTCAAGACAGTTCTGACCTTAGTAGGTGTAGAAACTATAAATACTTCGATAGAAAACTCTTATTTGTCCAAAACTGTATGAGACCAAAAGACAGAGTGGAAACTAAATTCCAATGAATATGTAAGAAAATGTCTTCTGGATTTACCAATCTTCTTCTCACATTTACCAAAATAGTATTTCACTTTTAATGTCATGTCTGGAAAACCTCCAGTTTCCTCAGGCCTCATGAAAAATTCCACCATGAAAACCAGAACAAAATACTAAGCTGACATATGAGTAAATAGCCACAGGTGCTAATTTGTGTCAAAGGAGAATTCAAGCTCACTTCAAAGAAAAAACCAGCTCTGCCATAGGATATTATAGA